ACCTGTAGACACTCTAGTTCTGCAGGAGTAGGATTGGAGATTCCTGTTGAACTCCAATCCAAATCAAGACCTGGCAGCGTTAAAATGGCTTAAACATTTGCAGTTTAACGTATATTGAGATTTTGCTGCTGGAAGATGTGTTTGACAGTGTAGAGTTAAATAAACCATACCTGAGCAGTTTACTGCTATTCACAGTGAATTCTTAATTCATTCTGAACTATTCTGCTATCCTGATATTATAATTTTAAGATGATAAATATTCTGTTAAATTATGATATTTCATTCTGAAATATCTTTTTCCTTCTTTTATTTTTAAGCTGTACTGTATATTGGCTTGTATTTCTTTTGAGATTCAATTCTTTGGGCTTGAGTCAGGTATGTTAGATTTTGCCTGACTTGACTGCCTTTTTTCCTACTTACAGACCACTGGAATTTACTTATTTGCTTAGGTTTCCAAGTGCGTGTTTTCTGTAATGTTAAAGAAAATTGAAAAGAGAAGGTTTAAACAGCGAAACACGTCAATACTGTGTTTTAAATTGAAATGGGCTGCACCGCTATTTCACATTAAGGTTATCGAGAGTAAAACAAAGCACCAAATAGACTCATTTTTTAATGAAAAAAAAATGAAATGCTGCATAGAATGACACAATAATGACTTCAAAATAAATATTTGAGGATAACATTTACACTGTGGCTGATGTTAATGCTGTACTTGTCAAATACTCTAAATTGTGTATATTCTTTGTACACTTTGGGATATATTTTTCAGTAGGGCTCTAAATGTGTTTAGGTTTGTTAATGTTTCCTACAGTATATGCGTTGTGTATTTTTATCAATTTATCAGATTCACAGTGTACGCTGAATTGTGTCCCATGGCATTTACCAGGTCATCATTCAAAAACTCAATTTCCCCGGCCCCGTAATGGAAAACCGGGGGTATGGGAGGTGAAAAGCAGGTTAGCTATGCGGCCTTTTCATTTAAAGAGGCTGCCGCAAGCACAGTCACAAGCAATCTTGTCAGTTTGCTCTGCAGGCTTTCGCACTGAGAATTTGCAAAATCATGTTTTGAAGTTTACCTGGGGTCCAGCTGAATGAAAGGCAGAAATCCCAGTAGGTTCAGCCCTGTCCGTTTATTTTCTGATGCATTTTTTTTTAGCTAGTCCATGTTTGCGCAGGATAACTGCAGCAAACGTGATTTGCTATGTACAGTATATTGATTTATTTAATTGGAGTTTCTAACAGAAAGCAAAGGGCTGAAGGACTATGTTGGGGATCATTCAGCTAAGAGAAATATGAGAAGAATCTTTTAAGTGTGTCCTCTCCTTTGGATTCATAGCCACTGCAATTGTGAGATTGTGTTGTGATTGTGCTGTCCCTCTGTGCAGATGAGAAAGAATGTGATGTCTATAAAGCCCATAATCTAAATTCTCACAGTGTCAGAAGCGAGCAGTCTAAGTCAGTCTAGCAGAAAGTGTCAGTCTGGATTTCGAGATGCGCTGATTGAGACCCCAGCGCTAGATGTGACACAGTAATAGGGAAGACTCCTGTTGTTCCAGTCCCTTCATTTTTAAACGGAATTGATTTTAGTTGTTTCTAAACACATAGTCAGTCATGTGGGGTTACATTGTAACATAAGAAAGAGGAAAAGCTTTTTAGAAAACGGCAAAGAGTATGGAGATCCATATTCTTTTCATTCATCTGGCCCATTGATAGTTGTCCAATGCTGCAGATCTCTTTGAATTTAAAAAAACAGATGGGCTCTGGATTTTTTGTATTTAATATACTGTAACTCCCTTCTAATAGTTTGGCTCACGCCTGTCCCTTATTAGATCATGATATGTCTGCCACTTTTTTTTTTTGCTTTTTAAGCACATTCTTCATCTCATAAGGGAGATGCCAGCAGATCAGCAAGCATATCCCAGAAATCAACATAATCCCCCCCCCCCTCCCACACCCTGTCCTCCTCCCAGAATTCTGCACTCACCCCCCCAGCCCAACACCCACTCTTCTCCTCTCCTTTATGACCACCAGCTTGATTTCTCTAGAAATTAATACAGAAAAGCGTTTGGCAAAACAAAACTTTATGTTTACATTGGCCAGCCACATCAGATCAATTATTTAGCAACAGCCTGAGTCGTTATTAAACCCAGATTTATGTCATACCTTACTTCATTTAATTGAATTTCAGCAGTACTTCTGCAGGAGTATGTGGCACCTTCTTTATTTTCATTAAGATTCCGTCTGGGACATTTCCTCCATGCATCACCCTTTCTGGATGTGCCGAGCGGGATAGCTGCAAGGATTTATGGACACTTCCTCATGGAAAACGTATTGATCTGAAGATAAATAAAGTTGGATCGATGAGGGGTAGATCACAGGGGTGTCTCCATGGACTGAAACACGAGCATTGATTTCTTATAGACTTCTTATCAATACACTGCAGGAGGTTGCAGGGTTAGGCATCAGATTAATTTACATGCTTACCCATTTGAAACCATACATTAGAGAATAGATCTAGAGTTCACACTTAATTCATACTTAATATTTAGCTCCATATGTATGCCCTCCTTTTAAAACCAGTTTACAGAAGGTTGGCCACATACTAGAGACTTAAGACAACTGCTAACGTTTGTGTTGGTTGTAACACTGAATAGGTTGATACATTCAATTTATGGTGCCTCTAAGTTTCTCACAGTCATTTCTGTTTTTATTGGAATACTTTTTGGAATAT